GCACTTATGAAGAGCAAAGCAGACAAAGTAAGCATATCATTTTACAAAATATACCCAACTACATATGTCATTAAATTTCAAACATTTCTTTTTTATTATTACTTTTTTTTTATATGTTAGTTTGTAGCAGTACAAACCTTGGCACAACCTGTTAGCCATGTACCAGTTCAGAATGCACCCGAACCCGATGTCCATGTACCAAGTGGTGCCGACGACGACGACCCATTTCCCTTGATTAACACCCAATTTTTAGAGGAAATTGACCGGACTTTGCAGGAAAAGTTGAATGAATCATCCAAGCCGAAAGCACCGGTAAAAATACACCCGCTGTAATTAAGTATATGTTAGCCATATAAGCACATATTATTAAACATGTCGAAATTTATACAAAATCTTATTGATATTTGTTTTTGGTTTTCAAGAGAGGGTTTACCTACGAGCCACACCCCATATTTGGTTATGCATTGAATGGATCACAACCGTCATTTGATGCTATAACTGCTGGTCTACCCCCGACACCACCACAAAAAAAAGTTATTCCAGATCAGCAAAATAATGTAATATTCATCACTTGATTTTTTATTTTTTTTTTATTATCTTGATTTAGTCTTTTAAGTTCAATATTAATTGTCTGTTTCGGATTTTTTTTCGCCACACTATTCAGTCTGCACATGTCCAGCAGAACGTAGAAGAAGAGAGATTCAATACCGAACCTGTCGGTAAGAATGTAATGGTGAATGCGTGGTTTTTTTTTTGGTTATATATTTGGTATATCTTTGGTACAGTTTTCTCTGCTCCTCTGTTATGTGTTTGCTATATGTTGAGTATATCTAAGGTAACTTGTCTCTCTAGTTGATAAATTTGATAGCTAACCTCAATTGTTTTTTGCTTATTTTTTTTTTTTTTCCATTTAATATTGAGTATATTTTGATATACATCAACTTGTGATTGCCTGATTTTACGGAACATTTTTTACCTTCACTTTTTTTATGAAATCTTTTTTTTTTTTTTCACGTCTCATTATATGTTTGGTTTATTTAATATTATTCTTCCACAAATAAAAAAAATAAGAGATTATAATATTTCTATGCTAGTTATTTTGGGTATACGTTGGGTATATATGAGTTAAATGTCTATCTATTTTTGTAATAATTTTGATGGCTACTTTGAAAATATCTTTTTACGTTTAATTCTGATTATATGTGGGGTATATCCAATGTTAAGTTGCATTTTTCTCATATTAAAAGTCAAACATATAACATACATATACCCATAATGGGGGATCCATTAATTTCAGAACCTGTGGAAAAGAGTGAAGCTGCAAAGGGTGTTAATCGAGGACCTGTTCAGGTGCAGCAGGAGGATGTAGCTGAAAAGGGATTGAATGCCGTACAAGACAATGAACGGGGAAATAGTGCTTTGGTGGTTTATGATCCAAAGGTAGAATTTTCGAAGAAAACCACAAAAGCAAGAAAAAAGTTGAAGACAGATGTTCCTGTAAAGATACGACTTCAGCACTCGCGCCCACTAGCCGGCGATTTCGATTTAACTATATCTGGTAGAGTGCAGACGAGAGCCTACGATGAGTGGATTGCTGAAGGAACTTTACAATGTGCCCCTCGTAAAGTTGCAAACGGGTATGGTGAACCGCAACAACTACATTATTTTTTTACTTCGTGCAGTCTAACATGTTATATTAAAAAGCATATAATTCATACTTACATTGAAAAAACTGCTCCCAGCAGCCTTTTTGGTATACTTTTGGTATATTTTCTGGTATACTTTTGGTACACTTACATCCCTTTTCTGGTATACTTTTGGTATATTTTCTGGTAGATATAACACAAGCAAAGTATTTATTACACAAATATACTAGTTACTGTGTATATATATATATATATAAAAAATTGTAATAATTGTTTTTTTTAAATACCCTACATCTACTAATAAATATTTTAAATGATGTCAGGTACAATTATTATAAGGTAAAGAGCAAAAACTTGCCAACACCGT